ATAGACTATACTTTGTTCTACCTTCAAAATTTTATTTAAGTTTTAAATAATTTTTTACTTTAGTCTGACGAAAGAATGTTACTTACTCAAGCACCCACGGGCGAGCAGTCCGAAGTTTCATCCAAAACAGTTTGAGATTCTCTTATAATTGTTGTACAATAATTGAAAATTTTAAATAATTTTCAATTTAGTCCCTTACTGTTGGTTATTGTTCTCTTGTATGATATTGAGTTTAAATCTCTGTTACCTATGTAAAAGCTTCTTTAACAAATGAATACAAGCATTGATTTTCTGCTACTAATACAAACAAAAACATAAATTTAAACAGAATTAATTATCTTTTGTATTCTTTAAAATAATTTCATATTAAAACGAAACTGAACTAAAGCACTACAAAAGAGAAATGAAAAATAATTTTTATTAACAATTCAAATTGTGCAAAATTATGTAGCGAAACTTACAATTATAGTTTTCTTTTACAATCATAGTTTATTATTGGTTTTGATAATTTTTTTTTTCAACTTTAAAATATTTAATATGTTGTAAACGGTTCCATAGTGTAGCGGTTATCACGTCTGCTTTACACGCAGAAGGTCTCCAGTTCGATCCTGGATGGAACCAATTTTTTTTTTCTTTCAAAATTTTTTTAACTTTTATTTAAGATGGACAAACGTGCATTACTTAAAATATCGGTATTGTCATCTGCTATATTAATTTAAAAAAAGTAACACTTCTGCTTAATAATCTAATAATTGACCTAAGTATTTTATTCGCAACACTTTTTTAGCATGAAATTTACACTTTGATCATTCTCGAATGCTATTTTTTCTTTTATATTTTAATCTTGACTTCTGTAAGAAATCAAAAAGCCAAACTTGGTTACGTAATGCTTTTCCAAAATTCTGCAAAAAGTATTAATTTTTAACAAAAAAAATTTGTTCAAAAAATTGGTTCCATCCAGGATCGAACTGGAGACCTTCTGCGTGTAAAGCAGACGTGATAACCGCTACACTATGGAACCGCTTGAAAGTATCGTAATCATTTAGGATTATCAATAAAATTAGAACTATATACTTGAAATTATTTGCATAATTTGCCACAAAATATTTACGTTTTTCCGTTAACAAAACCTTCAAAACCGATTTAAATATGATATAATAGCTTTTATTAAAATTCCTAAGTACACTATAATAGATTATTAAACGTGTATGATTTAAGAAACTTTGACTAAATATTTATTTGATTTTATAAAATGAATGATCTAGTTATAAACTAAATTGTGTATAATTTTCAATGTTTTATAATATTAAGAGTGTCATCAACGTTATTATTTTTCTCCTTTATATTTTATAGTTTAAATTGTAAAAATTGTTACAGGTTCATATATTAAAAAAAATCCAATTAATAATTTCTTTTAATTGCAATCAACAAATAATTTCCATTTATGATAATTACAGACTTGCATGCATGCATATAAAAAATATCTAAATCTAATAAAGAAAAACTACTATAAAATCTATAAAAAATAAATTACATTTCGTATATGAAATTTATATTGAAGCGATAAGTAATTGCTGAACTAATATTTTTTGACATCGAAGCCTTAAGGAATAATTTGTAAAATTGATATTAAATAAAATTCTAGTAAACTTTTGTTAAAATTAAATGAATAAAATTCTTACATACAGAATATAGAATACAAAAGAATAAAAATATCATTCAAAAATTATTGATAGCCTTGTTTAGTTACAAAATTATTATAAAATTGCATGTTAGGAAGAAATTATGAGACAATAGAAATTCCTTGAAACGTTTATGTCCTTTGAATTCTTCTTTGAAGTAATACAGGAGTTTTCTGTATGACAAAGTAATTATAAACTTGGAATAAAATAAATTTCTTTTTCAAGTGCAATCTTTTCTGTAAAAACCTGTAAGATACATAAAATTTAATTATTTTAGAAATAATAACAAAATTATAGGGTAACATTTTTAACTAATAGATTTTATACGTGTAAAATATTTAACACCTTGTAAATTTTTTTCTTATTATATGAGATACATACATAGATTTTTTTAGATTTTTTTTAACTTGTATACAATATTTGTTTTCGCTATACATATATAATATATAAATAATTTTTAGCCTATGACATTTAACTCATTTCAGGTGATCAAGAATTTGTTTTGTAAAATAGTACATTTTATTTAAACATTGTAGACCTAGATATCTAGATTACGTTTAGAAGATTACGTTTCCAAAGTTTAGAAGAAATTTTGAAGTAATAATTTCCAAAAAATTTATACTATCCAAGGAAAAAACTGGGTTTTATAAAAGGTTTAATTTGAAGGTTCAGTTTGGTGGCCTAACATTTGTCAACAATTTTTTTAAGATAGTAGAAATTACTTAACATCTTTCTGCTTTTTGAGAATTAACGAATTCTCTTTACTGACAACTACTGATTTGGACGCAAAAACTTTCATTTTCACATTTTGCTCGGGTTTTAACCTATAAAATTAATGGCAGGGGTAGGCGGTGAACATTTTGGAAAAATAATAATTTTATTAAGATTTACTTGCCTAAAAAAACTCTGATTCTGAATGGTGCACAAGTTTTCCCAACTAGTAGAAAAATAGGTAAACGGGCGCAAAAGTCACTGGATAGACAAACGAAGTAAAATAATTGTAATATTTTTTCTAAAATTTTTGGAATTGTACTAAAACAAGCATAAATAGTTCAATTCGTATATTCATTTAAAATTTCGTTATAATCCCAGCACATGATAAGTTGAATGTTTGTTAAATATATTATATTAATTCAGTGAATTTTTATGTAAGTAAACTGAACTTTTATATTTTAAAGAAACAAGTTACAAAAAATGAGAAATATTAATTTTTAATCAAAAATTTTAAATGTATATAAGTTACATAAACCATCAATAATAATTATCTATAAATAATTAAGCGTAAAATACAAAGTTGAAAAATTAACTTTCTTTTGAATTCTCTGTATAATTACTAATTACATTTTATACTCCCTAAGAATTAAAAAATATTATTATGTATAACAGAATAAGTTACTCTTTTTCTGCTTGAAATACACTGGCAGCTGTCTGCTCTCATACAAGTATAAAAAAGAAATATCATTACGAAAATAACATAACATCATACAAATATAAAAAAGAAATATTATTACGAAAATAACATAACATCATACAAATATAAAAAAGAAATATTATTACGAAAATAACATAACATCATACATGGAAAATAAATTATGCACAAAATATAATCAGTAACTATAGTTATCACATTAACCATATTTACTTCTTACTAAGAATCGCGATCAACATCACAATATACTTGTTTATGTAGAGTAGACCATAACAGCAAATAAACAGTAACAAAAATATTTTCATAACAGAAGCGGTCGTGGCTTAAAATATCTTTAAAACTTTTTTATTAATATTTTATTTTTCAGCTCCTCTTTTTTTCTTTTATTTTTTCATTGCTTTACCTCACCACTTGAGACATTTTAACATCATAATGTATTTCAGATACAAAAAGAATTAAATAAAAAAAATAATAAAGCGAAACGATGGAGTAGCTCCTTATATGAAGTAAAACAGCAGCTTAGGTCACGACCACAATTTCATTTTTTAACAAAAAGTTAAGACTCCAAAAATTTTGAATGGTTAAAAAGTTTTTTAATTTTAAGTTTACCATATCTATACTTTATTTATTTCATTAATAATTTCCAAATAATGTAATACAATAACAAGTAGCCACTCGACATTTACTACGATGGCACGCGTAACATAATTTGCTACAAAATTATATGAGAGAAAATAAGATAAAGAGAAAGAGAGCGAATAGAGGGTGACTGGTGGTGTGTTTAATTTAAAACATAAATTTTTTATATTCAAACATTGAACATCCTTGTTATTTCGAATCAAACTTGTTTTAACGTAATAAGAAAAATTCTCCTCGCAATGTAAAATATACGAAAAATGTATTCAATGAAGATCAGTTCCTTATGCATGTTAGTATAATATTTTAAGGTATGCATGTATATATCCTATATCCAATGGATCGTGAATGAAATAGTTATGTTTGAACCTGTTTTCCTTAAAGCTCTTACTTGTAAAAGAGAACACGGAATTGTTTTTTTGAATAAAAATAGTAACAGTTATTTCGTGAGAGAATCGATCTTTTACTCACTTATAGTAACAGAGAGTGAATTTTCATATTGTATTTTTTTTATTTTTTCATTTAATACATGTTTTCTCATCTTTTTAAATTCTGATAGTGGGGGAATGTTTTGCTCAAAATTGAGATTATTTTTAAGCTGAAAGAGAGTGCGTAGAATAATTTAATATAAAATTTTTATGTTATATTTTTTGTTTTTGTATATTTTTCATTTGTATCTTATTCCTAAACACACGTTCATATTTATCGTAAAGGTATTATTATTTTTACCTGTATTTTAATGGCTGGACAGGTTACAAGAATATTTATCAAACATTGGAATAAGGTAAACTATTGTAACTAAAAGATACTAAACACAACTATTATAAAAGGAAAGGCTTAGGACTAAAAGGTTTCAGTTTCCTTCAAGATTCCTTTAGGTAAAGAACTAAAATTAAAAAAAAAATTAGAAAATATTGTTTTTTTTTTTAATACTTACAATTCAATATTAGTTGTGGAATTTATAAAGTGAATTTTTAATAACACGTATAAGCACATGCTAAGAACTTTAATAAACATTTAGAAAACCAGTGTTTGTTCTAAAAAAATATCAAAATTAATTATTTGAATTCAAAAAAAATTAAATTTAAAAAATGTTAGCAACAATTGCCCCAGCACCAGTTAAAAATCCCAATAAGACATCAGTTCTTGGTATGAATTCTGTTAATATACAACAACAGAGTTCGCAATCAGGACAACAATCGCAATTAAATCAAAATTCTGGATATAATAAAAAAAAATTTACATATACAAATATGCCTTTCGGACAGCAACCAATATCAGTTGCGCGACGCAATGCACGAGAACGTAATCGTGTTAAACAAGTTAATAATGGCTTTGTTACATTACGTCAGCATATACCACAGAATATAATTCAGGCTTTATCAAATGGTGGCCGTGGTCCACATAAAAAACTAAGTAAAGTTGATACATTACGTTTAGCAGTTGAATATATACGACGTCTTCAAGATTTAGTTACTGATTTAGATGTAAAACAGCCATCATCAATATCATCTTCATCATCACCAACAACAACACATATATCAGAATATTCAAATTCTGAATTTGATCATATGCTAGAATCACCAAATTCTGAAACATCATCATATTATACAGCTAGTCCAGAACCAGTTTTACATAATCAACATCATATTTATACAAATCAACAACAGCAACAACAACACCAACAGCAGCAAAATATTTCAATACATAACTCATCAATTGATTCACAAAATAACCAATCAGAATCATCAATTAGTCCGGCCCCATCATATATATCAGAACCTTCATCATTAAGTCCAAGTTCAATACTTAATTATGGTAATTATAATAGTAGTAACAATAATAATAATAACAGTAATAATAATTATGGTCTAAATTCAACAACAATACCAAGTAGTATAACAAATCTAACGCCAGTAATTACATCAGTAATAGGAACAAATCTAAATTATAGTATAAATCAATTTAAATTTGAACCATACGATGATTATAGTTCGATTCATCATGATCATAATAATCATCACCGTAGCCATCATCATCATAATCAACAACATACAAATAGTACAATAATTGTTGAAAATGCAACAACCAGTGAAGATGAAGAGCTATTGGACTATATATCAATGTGGCAAGAAGAGCAACAATGAAAATATGTTACAAAATAAGAAAAGAAATATCGTTAGTTTAGTTGTTAGTTAATAGCATCCTTCTATTCATTAATCAAGTCATTCAAAGTTATAAAGGTGTATGTAGAAGAGTTAAGTTATTTAGAATCCAAACAGAGAATGTTAAAATATTTTATATAATTTATTAATGTAGTGCTTCTTAATGGCTCCTTTTAACATGCAAATATAAAATAGAAACATAATTTTCTATTTTGTCTTTTGCATTATTTTATTTTGTACATGAAATTGATATGAACTTGTCCAGTGTTAAAATTACAATCAGTCAATTATGATCTTCATTATTACAATAATTATTAGATTTTATGTTTAAGTTATAATATTTGTAGTTATGTAAATGGTTTTTTATTTTCTAGTCATGTTTATTTCTGATGTTATATATGTAAAATTAAGTTTTTTTTTTACATAAGTTTAAGCTCAAGAACATCAAATTGGAAGACATTAAATTTTTATATTGGTTCAATTATTATTAGTTTTAATATAAAAATGTAAAGAAATCAAGTAACGTAATGTGCCTGAAATTTTTTTTTGTAAATAATTGTTTTATTTTATAAGTTATTGTATATACATATAGTAAAATAAATAATAATTTTCAATCATGAAAATAATAAATAAAATTCTGAAGAAATAATATTTTGAATTTTGTTCTTTGATTTGTCGAATTTGCGGAATTCTATTAAATTTAATTTTGGTAGCCTAACTAAAATTTACATCTTCCGTAGGTCATCTTTAAAAATTCAATTAATAAAATCAAAAATAATGAAGCTTCTTTTAAAGATCAAAGAATTCTTTCATTGAAATTTTTGAAAAAACCGAATAGATAATGCAAAATTATAAATACGAGTATTTTCCATATTTCTGATAAAACATAGACACCAAGATAAAATAATTGTGTAATTGAAGGTTTTTAAGCTCAAATATTTTAGAAAAAATTCCTCTATATAAAAATATATGGACACGGCAATAACAAATCGTACGTGCGACACAATGAACATTATCTCTTTTGATAAATGACCATCCTTCATTTACATTAAGATTTGAAATCTAAAAGTAAATGTAATTTTTTTTATTAAAAGTAATTTTTTAATATAGATAATAATAAAAATTAACATAAAATTTGCCTATGAATGAGACTATCAGTTGTTTGATTTGAAATCTAAAAAAAAACCCGTATAGTTCCATTTACTTATTTACATTTGATAAAGTGGCCAACATTTTTATGTACTTTTAACCTTGTACAAATATTTGTTGTGATTCATTTCTGATAATAAATTATAAATAATTTGTTATAATTCATTTGTATATGATCTATAAGAATTTTAGTTCGAACTTATAGAATTTTTTATATTATGGTGTACAGAATTGAGTGAAGAAGTTTACAACATTCAGTTATGAAACAAGCTAAGGAGTCTCTAACATTTTGTTATAATTAAATATTATTGAGTACGTAAATTCAAAGTACTAGTTAAAGAAAAGATACTAAGTATGAAAATTGAGAAAAATTAGGAGAAACTATTTATGGCACGATATTGGATCAAACTGTTGGCATGAAGTTCACTTTAAGTTAAATTAAGTTTTTGTATTGGATATTTTCATTTTTTTTTTTGCATTTTACTATGTTTGATTTTCTAATTTAAAAATTTCCACTATTCAAACTAAATTGCGAGATATCGAGTTTGAGGAGATCGACTACTTTATTTTTTATTGGAATCTCTTTTGTTCCTTTGAACAAAAGGAACAAAAGAGATTCCTTAGTACATTTGACATTCGCGATTTGAACTTTTTATATTTTAGATGCATTTTAGATATCTAGTCTAGCATTTTAGACATCTAGTAGTTCTGATATTTGAATATTGAACTTTTACGTTCAAAGTTCAACTGGAAAATAATTAAAGTTGTACAAAATTTTCAATTCGACTAATTTCAGTTAAGACGTACTAATTTTTGTCAATCATAAATAATTGTTATAAATAGATTTTATTTTTTTTTTTTTTCAAATTTTTATTTTTATTGCAAGTTTCCCTAACAAGATTTCTTTTAGGTAGAAACTAAATTTTCGTGTGTTAATTGACCGCGTGCTCTGTTTTTATGACTTATATAAATTTGAATTGTAAATAGAAAAATAATTTGTTTATGATTAAATTATAGAGATAAAATTAAAAGGAAATAAAAATTCCTTTCGAAAATTGCGCTCTTCAATTCGAAATACAATAGAATTCTTTCACTATTACAGTGTCAAGTCAAACACTTCATAATATATGAAATATTTTGATAACAGTAGAAAATATTGAGTGGGTGTTAATTACGAAATATAAAAAGACTTTGTAGTATACGAAATTTTTAAACATTCAAAATTAAATGTCATCAAATCCTCTGGCTTAAGCTTTACTAAAATAAATATCTTATAAGCTTAAAATTTAATTCCGTTTTACGATTCGCTATTTATTAATTTTTGTCACATATCACTTTAAACTAAAATTTCAATTATATTAAATGACTCTCTTCTTTCCTCCTTTGCTCTCATAATTTTCATTTTATTAATCAATCAATCGAACGAATTCTAATATAAACCAGTTTATAACAAAAGATTATATTCAACGACTGCAATAGTTCTCAACTTCAGATCTATATTTTATTAATAACTTTGTTATGGCATAAAATCATCTAATCAATAATCTAATTTTAGTATAAAAAAGTGCTTAATTTTGCTTTGAATTAAATAATTTTCTAAAATAAAACTATAGAAAACCAATCAAACTTTTTAACTTAATAAATCAATGTGGGGAAGGGTTACGTGAGTGGTGTATAATCGTTCTATTATGAAATCTTTCTAATGAGAATTCAATATGAAAAGAAAAAAAGAATAAAAAACACTTAAGGCTCATTATAAGTAAGTGAGTTCACGTTTTATACATTTAATAATTTCGAAAATCATTTAATTCAATTTTTAACACGCAAGTTATTTTTGTTTTCTGCACTGCTTCTTAATGTTTTCTCATCACTTTTTAATGTCCAACAATAATAATAATTGTAAAGTATATCGACTTTGAATAAAAGTTCATATCCATTATCAGAGTAAAATGTGCAGAACAGTAAAAGAGGATGATTATTACATAAAATTATTTTATATTAACTGCTTTTATTAAATTAATTTCAATAAATTCTATTATAAATAAAAGTTGAGATCATAAAGTTAAACTTTTAGGAAATTATAAATTAAGATTAAGTTATAATTTAAATGAATTAAAAGCAAGAGCAATAGAGCACAACTCTTCAATAAATGTAAAATGTAATTTAAGGGTTGCAGTAAAAAATTGAAATTTTACCCGTGAACGATTTTTCTTTGCTTCTCCTCCGAAACGGCTGTCTTATGATGACTGATCAGTCTTTAGAATTAAAGTATTGAATAGTTTTGCTATAATATATTTTCTTGTTTTTGCTTATAGGTTGCGGAAAAACTTGTTACGCGTGTGAACAACAACTATTATTGATTTAAATCCTTTTGTTAGGAAGCTGTGGTGGAGGAGAGCTGCATGAGTGCTCGGGGACTCCCAAAGTTAAATTTAAAACAAAACAAGAGCGATTTTCTGTAGCGAAATGTCATAATTATAAATAGAACTGCCCAGAATCAAGTGTAATTACTGCCTGTTGTTCTGTGTTAATAACGAAAAACGTCCGCCATTGTTGTTCACCGCTTTACTCATCGACTATCGCTGAAAATATCGAACATAATAACAATCTCTTGTGAAATCAGTACTGTAGTTGTAAACATAAGCTCAATTTTTTTTTAGAGATTCCAATTAAATATACCCACAAATATTAACCTATCAAATATGCCTATACAAATTTTGATGCTCTTTTCATGCCGCGAATAATGTTGACGGTACGATTTTCTTGTGTAAAGTGTTGCACTTTAAATAACTGACGCAATAAGATTACGTTTGATTGCCAATTTATAAAAATTTAGCAGCAGAGAAAACAAAAAATGATTTCTCATTGATTCTCAATGGTCATAAATTATTTTTTGATGTAAAATTCTTAATTTCTTCCAAGAATCAATATTTTTTTAAACAAGGCAGAGAACTAAACAATAATTTTTGTCACTAAAATTTGAAGTTTTGGTTTTAATAATAAATAATTATCTTGTTATCCTTAAATGGACGTTCATATATAGAGTTATAAAATTTGGTTGTAAAATTAATATTGGTAATTTTGTACTGTATACGTGTGAAAAATATGAAAACCCGCAAAAAATTGGTTTTTGAAATTTAAAAAAATGTACAAATAATCACTAATTTTGTTGTTGTTTTTTTTTTTTTTTGTTTTTAATGTACTCTACAAACATAGCTAGATTGTGTTACGCCCTAAAACAAATAAAAATGTTTTTTGACATTAAAGACCTTTATCTAACCTTATTAAATAATAATAAGGACACAAAAACGTAAAAGTATTATTGATGAAGTACCTGATACGTAATAATTTCTTTACTACATGATTTAAGGATGCTTTGTTAAAATGGTTTGATCTGATGAAATCTGCGCGAATTTCATCGTCGTTATTTGTTATAAATTATAAATTAAAATACAAACACCCCGAAGGGTGAAACAAAACTGAAGTTAAAGTACAGGTGATACAAAAAAAAATTTAATTCTTATGCTTTTCCTTTATATTTTTTGCTTTAATGTTATTAACAAGAAGAATAAATAAACTACTTCTAAATAATGAATTATACAAGAAAATTGTATAAGTATATATATGTAGGTATTTTAGTATGTAATTCGTATATGAACTCTTCATATATAATGCAATAAACGGTTCATAATGTTAAAGAACTTCTAACAATCACAGCGGGTGATGACTGTTAAAGAAAAGATAATTGAGATATATATACCTGCCGAAAGGAGCTCTTTGTAATTGAACAACGTATAAAAGAAAAAAAAAACCGCGAGACTCTATTGTCACTT